GTAGGATGCCTTCACGTGCGGTATACACATCTCCCTTGTCCCAGAGGCCCCTCTCTTCCCCAGGGACCACAAGATTAGCACCAAGTCTGTGTTTAGGACAGAAAAAGTAAAGAGGATTTATTTCCTTTCCACAGGGGAAAATTCTGTTTCTTTGTGGAAAGCCGAGTGGGCACGCGTGCGTGTGATCCACAACTGGATGTCGCTGTTAGTCAAAGCTTTTTATTTTTATGAAAAAATAGAAAATTTTGTATCTTACACTACAAAAAAAACCATGTACACAAACAAAATGCACAGAGAGCATCCAAGGAGGTGGGGGGAAAAGGGGAGGAATAAATACAGCAATGCTACAGTCTCCTGTGAGTTAAAATGCCAATGTGAGGAGCTGAAACGGATGCTGTGGCTCTGGCAGTGCTGGATGCACCAGCTGCCGCCCCACTCACCCTAAGGAATTACAATAAAGGATTGGAAACTAAGCATTACTCTTAAGACTGCTACTGATGTATCTTACACATGTCTTAATGACTAATTTCAAGACCACAGCAGTCCAAGGAGTCACAATTTCTTGACCACTGGGACTTCTACATTATATTCAACACTGAATAGAAAAAAAAACAACCCCACCTTAATTTTTTTTGTTCTTCTCACCATTAACATATAGAAGGAATAAATACAATTTTAAACTGATTTTTTTTTTCTTATTTTTCTTTTAAATCAGTGTTTGTTTTTTATGCTCAGGTAATTTTTCCAAATGGTAGTTACGCAATGAAAGGGGTCAGTCTACACAAGCCATGCTTGGGAACACTTCCTTCTCCCAAAGCGAAAAGCTACATCGAAAAGAGCCCTTTCACCTCCTAGACCCTTTGAAATACCTTCCTTACAATTATCAGCAAAATATACTGGGAAAAAAGTATTCGTCAGACCAGCCACAGCAGTAGTGAGCTGGACAAGCAAAGCGCTCAGACTTGCTGTAGGCAGGAAATCCAGCTACAGCCCTTACAAAGAACATAACCAGTGAAATGTTACTGTCATCTCCTTCTGCTGCACCCCAATATACATGATCATGCCCAAAATACAGAGTACTCGTAGTTGTTGGATGGGAACAGAAAACCTCCGTTGTCTCTGGGATTTGCTTGTGGACATAGAAGCTGTAACTGTTGGACCCTACCTGGTAAAACAACATTTTCTTTTATTTTTCGCTCTGAGACAAAGCCTATTATACAGAGGTCTGTAGCAAGAAGAGCTCTTGAAATAAATAGAAAAGGTTATTTATTTATTTATTGGAGGAATGGAGAAGAGGTGCCCTATTTACAAAGGCAGTCTGGCTTAAGAACAGTTTGTTTTCCACTAGTTCATAATTTTGAAGGTTATTCCAGCATCTGGTACGCATCTCAGCCATACCACATACGCATTTAAAACCCCACAAATGGTGAAAAGGGGATTTTGCTGTTAAAAGTCCATGAAAAAAGACCACACCCAACTCCTCCCACAGAGCCAACAGGTAAGGAACGAGGGGATATGATGAACAGAAAGTGCTGCATATGTGCTAAGAGCATCTCTCTTGGTGCGGCCGATGGATGTGGGTGGCGACTGAACAATTCCTCCCGATGAACCGAGTTGCTTCTGTCTTCCTACAGGTTATTTTTCCAAGTGCTGCAGGCAGGGAGGCACAAATAATCCCAAGACGGTTCTGCTGACAGCTCTAATAATCTTGTTTATTATATGACAAATCTCTTTTATGTGCTGAAATTGTTGTGTCTTGATCTTCCCCCCACACAGACACACACCTTTTGTGGTCCGGTGACTGCCAAAATGAAACAATAGGATAAGAAATCACACTGTCAAGATTCGTCAGACCTTGCCGCAGCTCCTCTCCCTCCTATTTCTCCCGATTCCTGAGGAGCTTGGAGGCAGCTCGCAGAGGAGGAGGTGGCCATTTCAAAACAGGCAAATATTGCCTGATGAAGCCCTGCTGCAAGCAAGGAAGCCCTGCTGCTAAGAAAAAACCCAAACAACCCAACCCTCTCCTCCTAGACCTTACCCTTTTCTTTAGGAACTGTTCTTTCTATCAAATCTCATCCAAAGGCTTGGGGGAAATGGAAAAAAGGTCTTCGAAACAGCTGAAGGTGGCATTTGACACCTGCTTCTGCAAGATGTGAAGGACACACTTTTGGCACTGGATGAACTCCTCGGGCTCAGCTCTGCAGCACCGGGGATGAAGGGAGCTGCGGCAAGTCAATATGTCAATGTTATCACCAAGGAAGGATGCTGCAAGATGCTACCCAACCTCTAAGGGAGCAATATATCTACAAAACCAGCAAACACTTGCCATCCGCTGAGCCATTTTTAATCCTTATCTTTACAAAAGCCTTCACAAAAAAAAAGCCCAACCTATGAATACCAAATTATTTGCACTGATTAATCCTATCTACAACAAAAGGAGGAAGACAGCCCCAAACTGTTCTTGGTAGGATTCCCAGGGGATCGGGTTGCCCTCAGGTCCCTCTGAAAACAGCAGCTGTGAGCTGGACACATCAAACCCCAGGTACAACCAAGTGCTGACCCAAGCCATGCCAGAGCTTGGTGGGACCTTCTTGCCCATGGGATGGCACCACTGTGACCACGTTGTGCTGCTCTGCTCTTCCCTCCTCTCTGCGCTCAGCCCCAAAGTGGCCAGGTCCATACCCAAATCAAAAATGCCCAGAGAGACAACTTGGCACAAAATAATCCCACCGCCACCACCACCACTTTGGGGGAAATACTGCAAAATCTCTATGCTGGATGACCACGGGCTTGCCTCCACACTGCATCCCAGGACTTAACCCCCATAATAAGACAAGGAACAGCAAAATCCCTTCCTTCCAGCTAAAACCACCTCGTGGTTTCTCTCCTGGGCTCCAGGGACAGGGGCGAGGGCAGCACTGGGTGATGGCTACTGGGCTGAGATGCCACTGCGGAGGCAATCCCATGCCATCTTTGACCAGGACTCACACCCACGAAAAGCAATGCCACATTGTCGCTGGTGGCCACTGAGAACCAGATGTTTTACTTTTCTTCTGGACATCCCCAGCTCGTGGTGGAAAGGAAGAAGGGACAACATCTTTTATTTAAGCAGACTCCTTCTACCTCATATACGTAATCAAAACTCCTGAAGGCTTTATATGTTGCTGAAATCAAACAGCAGCAAAAATACAAAGCATAGCGGTAACACAAAAGGGAGACAAAACAAAGTGAAAGAGGAGGGGGGAAAAAGAACAAACCAAGAACCCCAATCTTGTACCTGATGCGTAGCAAACTGTACAGTATATACATCTTCGTCATCTATTATCCTCCCAGAAGAGCAAATAAAAAGAACTTGGCAACACAGAGGGAGGAAAAAAAAATATACACCCTGTATTGTATTTGCCATGGAGCAAGCAACATGTTTATACACTAGTCTCTATAACTTAATGCTGTGTAACAGCATTTTTTTTCTTTTCTTTTAATTTACAAAACAAAATATCTATTGAGAAATAATCTAATCATATTGCTCTTCAATACACTTCTGTAGACAAGTAATACTCGAAGTTAAACTTCAGTAAACCGCAGCTTTTGGGAGCCCACGAACAGCTACAAAACTCCTCCATTCAAGTCCTTGGAAGTATTACCGTGTGCTGCTGTAATTCAGTATATAAAGGTGCTATATATATACCTATATATATCTCCCATGTACAGACAACGTGTGGTGGGAAGGCTTGTTGTCGTTGTTGCTGAAGCTTAAGAGACGGGTTAACCTCACGTACAGCAGATTCATTTCCATGTTCCATGCATCTTACATTTACTTCATGAAAATGAGGACACAAATAGGAAGAAAAGGAAAACTTTAGTCAAACACTGCTTTAGAAACACTGTGGCAGAGGCCAACGTCCTTCAGTTATATAGAAACCACTGAATTTCCCTTTTTATCTTTTCTTTTTTTTTTTTTTTTTTTTTTTAGTCAAAATAAATCTCAGGGCTAGCGTACAAAGTGCAGGACCGACCCACTTGAGGAAGCGACTTTAAAACTGAGTTACAACGGCACCATCCCATTCACCAACTGGACCTTCATCTCTTGAAGGCTGTTCATTATCTTCTTCTGGTGACCAACAAGTGTCACTCCCAGCCGCCTCAAATCCCTGTGGGAGAAAGCAGACGTTGGTTCCAGGGACCGCTCAGGCACACACCGCCGCGCACACCACACGCCACACACGCCGATACTGCTGCCAGCACCTACCTCTTACCATTAGCGGCTCCCAAAGCCAAGTTTAGTTGGCAAGTTTAATTTTCCCCATTTTTAAAAAAAATTTAACGGCTGACAGCATCTCTGAGAGGTGATGTGATTTGGCCAAAATTACCTTGCTGGCCAAGGAGAAAAGCCGAACAGCAAAGCGTCAGCATCACCTTTGGCCAAGGACCCTGCTAGGCGTGAAAAGTCCTATTTCCAAGAGAAAAGCCATGTAAGAAAGCCTGTGTTGCAGTTTCCTCTTCTCCTGCAAGAGGCTGGTATTTGATCTCGGATATGAGCAGTGAGGAGTGAGGTCAATCCACGCTTCCTTCCTCTTCAGACTAGGCAAAGCCAAAGATACACAAACTGCAATCCTAGAGCCAGCTCCTACAGAGAGCTGAATGGCAAAAGCCTTGAGCATGGCCACCACCCTGAAGACCCCCTAAAGTCAACAGGAATTGGCAACACAGCTTCCCTCTGGGCCTTTGCAAATCTTCCTGTAAACCCATGTTTGAATTTTTTTGGGGGGAGTGAGTTCTACAAGCCAAAGGCATATTTGTGTTGAGTCTGTCTACTGGGCTGCCGTTATAGGAAAGCTGTAAAATAAGATAGTTATCTGAAATGCAGGATTAGGAAGAAAGATTGTTTTCTCAGAAGCTCAGCCCTCTAAAATTTAGGCGTATAGATGAAGGTAATCACCAAGTTTGATGTTGATGGCATGAAAGAGGCACCTCCAGGGGACAATTTATTCCATTCAAAGACAGGAGTGGGACAAGTCGTCCCCTGGAAATACTACAGCATGACCTTGGGTGATCAGATTCAATGAAATATCTAAAGCCAGGTAAGGTCATGGATTATGGCAGAGTATAATTGTAGGGATTTCTTTCTAAGGAAAAAGTGTTAACAAAGAAATTGTAGGAATAAAAGCTTGGAAGAAACATCAAGATGGCGCATCTGTGTTTGAAACACAAGACACAGAGACTGTTAGAGAAGCAGTTCAACTTAGAGGAGATGTGGTGTTTTGTCTGAAGACTTCCACTAGAAAATATCAGCCCCTCACTTTCTACCTCCAGGCTGGACTGAATAAAAGATGTTTTCAAAGTAGGGCTCTACAGTCTTGCCAACAGATGCGTGAATCCCAGAGCTGCCGACACCCTGTGTGCAAGTCTTTTAGGAGAAAGCTCTCCACCAAAAGCCAGCAGGATGTGACCTCCTTGAAAACGAAGGTGCTTTTTGGAAACCACACCAGCAGGGCTGGCACGTGCAAGGGCTGGAGATTGCCAGTGACACCCAGGAGCCCAACCATCACCTGAGACATTGCAAACCTGGCTTAGAACTCACAGCATGGCTGCATGCTGGACTGCAGGTGAACACGTGCAATGACCACCAAATCACTTTCACGTAATGTTCTGTGAGCTAGCCGTGGATGTGTACCTCTCTCAGCAGCTTCACATTCTGGACACAGACTCCTGTGCGAACACAACCAAACATCCATGTCCAAAAAAATTACACAGATGAACATTGCTTTGAATAAAAAGCAATCTTGAGTGAAGGTTGATATGTTAACACATCAGTTGGTTGAAGCCAAAAGCTAGATCTGTTGTTCTCCAAGGATTGTCATGCTTTCAGGCTTTTGATTTGGAAAATACCAGATTTTCTGCTCCAGGCCAAACACTTCATTTCATTATCATACCCTTTTTCGGCGATGCATCTCACTGACGCGTAGGGGAAATCACAACGTTAAGGGACACGGAGCAAGGGAGGTCAATGAGACACATCAGCAATGCTCCTTACCTGGCAGAGAAAAGCTGCAGCACCTGCAAAAGGTGTCTACCTTTCCCAGGGGAACATGCTTTCATTTCTGCCTCCACTGAATTGTGAAACTAGTTCAGCAAGCCATCTTAATAATGAAGGAAAATGTAGTAATGCTATTGTTACATGCAATTTATTTTATGTACACAGCACAGTTGGAAGTTCACACCAAAGATCAAAAAACCCCCAAAAAACAACCCAGTATAGGACCTGATTTTTAAAAGAGCCAACAACCATCTTCCCCCTGCTGAGCGCTGCTCTGCTGGCACTTTTTGAAAATTCAGCTTTTTTTTCTTTCCCCCCAGGTATCTAAAGTGCAAGCTGAGCTCTTTTGAAAATCCAGCACCACGTATTTCAAGATGTATCATTTCTGATACTCTTGCATGTTATGCAGAAAAAAATAGCCTGAAACTATGAGAAAGGCATGAACATCTTGGCGTTTCACACTCATCTCCATCAGTTAATAAAAAAACCCCTACTCACTACACAGCTTTTTTTTTTCCCCCTTATAGTATCCCCTTAACTCAATATCCTTGAAGAGCGCCTCACTGATTTAGAAGAGAGAAAGAAGAAAAAGGAGTTTCTGGTTTCAATCCATTAGCTGCTCACCAGGGGATCCAGTCTATTTTTTTTTTTTAATATCAAATCCTCTTGAATGTGGAGCCACTGGCCAAAAGCGTGGGACTCAGAAAGGGGACAAAAACTACCATGGGGTCTTTCACCTCCACGAAGATGGACCAGAAGACAACAGTTCCTGAGCCAGATGCTTACTTAGTATAAAATCAGCACCTTTCTTTAAAAGCCACCTTGTGCATTGCAAAGCCGGCAACAAAACTTTCCAAAAACTGCCTAGAGAATGCAGGAGCTTTTATTCCCATTTTTCAAGGGTGACGTGCAGCACATTGCACGCTCCTGTGCATCCAGTGCTGAAGGACTTAAAGTGGTGTAAGGCTGAAGCCAATTTTAAACAAAATTAGGTGTGCAAAACAGCTGGTTTTGGGACAAAAAAAAATCAACTTCTGTGTCAAAACAGGTGTTTTCAAGCTCTAGTCCAGAGCTGCCTGGCTCATTTTACTGCAGCCAACTGGTAATTTCACCGGGCTCACCCCTGCAGAGGAGATGCGTGTGGGTATCAACTGGGGCTTTGCAATAGAAATGTGCAATTCCCTGCAAGAAGAGGTAAAACTAAGACGCGGGGGCAAATGACACTTGCAATCGGGATCCAGGCTGCACCTTGCCGTGCAACTGACCCTACCCCCAGTGTCAGGTTTTGTGTGCGCTGCCGCGGCAGCGGCACGGGCGCTCCTCGAGGCCGTGGAGATACGTGCACCCCTGTGCTGTGGGGTCTCCCTGCTTCAAAATACTTGACCCCCCATCCAGCAGTGAGACAATTTTTATTCTTGGTTCAGGGAGAAGTCTCACCTTTCTACTTTTCTTTCATTCACATAGGGTTGAAAATGGAAACAGGCAGGAATTCGAATCACTTGCCAATACAGTACTAAGAGGCTGACCTAAGTTGACCAAAAAGCCAAGGAAATAAAGGGGGAAATTGGTGTCGGCTCATTCCAAACAGCCCGTACACAGCTGCACACATGCTCCTCTCTTACCACCACCTTGCACGAAAGCCCACCTGAAACGTGCCAGGGACAACACTGTATCCCCTTCCCTGCAATATCCTCCATTTGCAAGGGTTGAATTCACGGTCTCCATGTTGTAAGAAATATATTTAAAACATTTTATTTACAAATAGAACTACTTATACACCATGGACCAGTTTGTCAAACACAGTGTAGACTAGGACTGGATTGCCACATAAAATACAACTCCCCTCACCAGCCGGTTGGTCGTGCAAGCAAAAGGGCCAGGTTCCTGAAAGATCTCTGTGGCCGGCAGCCTACCACAGATACTTTGTATTTCAAATCCCATCCAGGCCAGATTTCACCACTCCTCTTCACATGGTGTAACTCTACAATTGCCCATACAGATTGGGACTACTCACAGAGTTAGTTAGTTACATGAGGGGAAAGAAGAAACTCAAAGACCTTCAGAAGACGCTAAAGAGAGGAATGGACTTGCTAGGGACTTTTGCATGAAATGAGGACTTAAAACCCAATTTTTTTAAGAGTTCATCTGCCCTTATATTCATTATTCCTGTCCTACTTGATTAAGAGATGAGAACTGGTTTGTCCAGAAGCAGATGCAGTATCACAATCTCAGGACTGAGATTTCAGGTTAAGTATCTAGAGCAGGTGAACTCTTAAACACTCTTCATCCAGTATAACTTTCAATAAATAATTTATTTTATTTTAGAAGAAAAAAAAATATACAATGCAAAGCAACACAGCACATATTATTACAAATATTCAGAACTCTTAATCTAATAACAAACAACAGGGTGTCCTGAGATTCAGTGAGTACAGGTCTTTCAAAAGGTGGAAGTATGTAGTCCACATGGTTAGTAATTGGTCCAGTCAAGGGTCAGACTGAAACTCATGTCATGGATCTATCTATTCTTGAGTATTGTCCTGGTAAAGTTATTCTTGCAGTGGATTGAAAGAGCTCCAGACACACTCAAAGTCACTAGGTGGTCCACAAGTTTAAAGAGCAGGTCTGGTCCACTGGAAAGGTTGCCTTCAAGTCTGATATCCAGTTGGAAAGAGGGGGTGGAGGGTGAGGCTCCACTTTTCACAAGGTGATTCATCCCTTTGCAAGAATTAGAGCTAAATGTAGAAATCACTCTTTGTTTGAACACATACATTTTCAGGTCTTTTCTTAAGCAGGCAGAGCTCAGGACTTGGGGCGATATTCACTGGTTTTAGCTTTTTAATCTTTTGTTTGCAGAAATTTGTCACTAATACTATTCTTTTCTGGAATAAATGCATCAAGCCATCAGTTTGAAAGAAGCAGGGCGGTAACTGGGATTTTGCTTTGCATGCCGGGGGGGAATTTAAAAAAAATGCTGAACACCTACCATCTCAACCAGGTCCTGTAACGAAGCCACAAGCTGGGTGCCCACAGTCACCAGTCCCACCAGCGTTATGGCCAATCCCTCCTACAGCACTAGTAATTTTTTTTCCATAGATTTCAGGAATTCTTTACATTCTTCATATTTTTTTTCTGCCTTTTCCGGCAGCAATTATCCAGTTCTCCTTTCTCCATCTGATTTCCACATCTGTCTCCTATGCAGTTTGAATTTGGCAAAGATCATTTTGGATGGTATTTGAAGGCAACCTCTTAAATTGTAAAGAATGTTTTACTGATGTCATTTGGGGAAAGCAAGCTACTTTCAGATGTTCAGATCATCTTTTCACCCAATCCCCCCAAGTCCCAGCTCTGGAATATACTGAACAGTTGCCTCTATTAAAAATGACAAGGAACATTTAACCTGAATTCTCCTTTGCAGAGTACAAAATGTTTTGTTGTTCCCTTTTATGGGCAGAAAAAATGAAAACCTCCAGAAAACCAAAACCCCCAATATATTAACCTTTAAGGAACTTTGCTTGTGCTGGTGTTTATTTTCTGGAGAACCCATGAGAGTCTCAGCTGAGCCTACCCAGGAGCCATTTCTCTCCCTTTGTTGATCATAAGGGCAATCTGCCAGTTTACATCAGCCTAAGCACGTGGTTCAGGTCTTTGACACGGGACTATAATGGTTTCTCCTTTTTTAACAGTTGAGCATCTAGTCTTTTTGTCTTTTTTTTACTATATCTGAGAAGGATGAGAGAAAACTCTTGATTTGGATGGCTCTTTGGCTTTTTAATGAACCTTCCACCGTCTTCTCAAAAATAGACCCTAGTGAGGTCAAGCCTTCTTGCTAAACCACCACTGCAAAGCAAAGGTGTGTGGGCTAAGCTGCTCAAGAACCAAGCCTGACTCATGCAAGTACCTCTGTCCAAAGCAGCTGGGGGGCAGGAAGGATTTATTTGCTGGCATGGATAACTAACTAGATGGAGTTGGTTTCAACTGAAATGCAAGATGGATTAATGAAATGTCTCCTTTCAGCTTAAAAAAACGCCCAAACCCAGAAGCTCCCCAGGCTCCCAGGCATCAGCTCCTCTGCACTGCTCTGCTGCTGTAAAAGCCTGGAAGAAAGCTGAAGCTGAGCACCTCAGACATGTTGTCTCCACTGGGTCCAGTAAAGGTCCAGAGAAGGATGACATCTGTGCTACAGAGAACATACTGGGACCTGATGGAGGGGGCCTTAGAGGCGCTTTGCAGCTCATGAGGGTCAGAGCATCTCCAGCAGCTATAATCTTATTTAAAGACTTTTAAACCAACTTGTCTTTCTGGCTAGAATTGTACAGATAATGGATTTCTTGGTTCACTGCCAACTGGAAAAAACATTTTGAAGTACTTTTTGGGTAGCCTGAAAAGATTTTGGGGGATATTTTTGAAATTTCTGGAATAACAAAGATTAAATATAGGGAAGTATTTAAATTTTTAAGTCCAATTAAGGAGATGATTTCACAATCTGTAATGTTGCACTCAAGAAAATGGGAGCTCAGTAATAGTTTTGTCAGTGGGACAGGATGCTAAGACTCTGCCAGCACAGATGGATGCTAAGACTGCTTAAATCTACATGAGTAAGTGAACTTCTTCTAATTTACTGTCAAAAATGACCATTAATTTGGGCTCAAACTCAACATTTTCAAAGCATTTAACTTCTGAGCATTTCTTTTAGAGCTCTTGAAATTGCATAAAATTCTAAACAGGAACAAACTGGAAGCTTTTGTGAAACCTAATTTTCTTCTTTGATATGACTAATTCAGCCGAACAGCAACAAGTCTGTGATATCTTTTTTTTGACAATCTGCATTTTTCTACCAGAACCTGCTCCGGTTATAAGACTGAGGTGGCACGGTAGAGGGGAATGCTCCTATGTTTTCCTTTTCTCTTAAATTACTGCCTCATCCTGTCCCTCCTCTTCTCTCTCGCCCTCTGGCTAGGTCTTTCTGCCACGTGGACTCTGACTACCCTGGGGATGGACCTCTTCCTTGGTCAATGTTTGTAGATCACCAGTCTAAATGAAGCCCTGAGGCCTGGTGTATCTAGACATTGCCATATCAGACGAGTAGGTAAAGAACTGTGGAGTCCTCAAAAGCCAAAGTAACATGGCATGTAATTGCAGGACTAGGCTGGGAAACCACATGTAAGAGCGTCACGCACCCAGGAAAGGATCTAGGTAGAAATCCATGCACCCTAACTCCCTAGACACTTGCTAGAGAGGATTTAATCCTTAGCTCAGGGTTTTCACATGAATGCCTGAAGACAGACTGGATGACGTCAGGTGTAAGGGACAAATATTAGTGATGTAAGCGGAGCAAATAAAACCTGAGTGAGAGCAGATACGCTCCTGTGCTCCCTCCAAGCATGTAATGCAAAACTGAACTCCATGGAAATGTTACCGACCTGCATAACCTGCAAAGGACGTCCTACCCTGTACGGTGAGCTCCAAGCCCTGTGGCAGACAGAAGAAATGGCTGTGGTTCTGTGGGGATTTTTCTTGTTTTATTCCTAATCCTTGGCACCAGTTCTGTATGTGCACTGGCAATCTGCATGTGGTTGGAGGAGCCACGACCTTCTCCAAGGCAGCACGAAACATAATCCTTCCCATTCTGCCTTAACGCCTGCAATAAACTAAGCTCAAATTAAACCAGCTAGAAAGGCAGGCTTTGAGTTTGAGTAAGTGGCAGGAGGAAAGTACAGATGTAATTACACAAGAAAGGCAGGCAATTAAAGGTGGAGCGTAACAAATCAGCAGCCCCAAGGCATTTATCAAGTTATTTGAGTGCTGTCACCCCAACTGCAGTCATACCCACGTGCAAAGAACAAGGGCACATCCAGAAGGAAGAGTCTCGGCCAGGGAGCATGTCCCCTAGAGCTGTGGGTTTGCTGATGCTCTTCTGTTGGCATCAGCTGTACCTACGCTTATTTCTGTTAATGCTGAATACTATTTCCGTGCCTTACTGGGTTTGACTGTCCACTTGGTTATGTCCAGATCAACTGTGAAACCAGCTAATCCGGTGTAAGCCAGTATACCTCAGCAGGGACTCTAGCTCCTATACATCTACCAATAGGGTAGGGTTTTTTATTTGTCAGTAACCTCAAATAATCAACTGCTATTATGTCGAGAGGATGGCCTGGATATTATTCAAACTCAAGCATTAATTTCTCTGAGTAAAGGAGCCAAAGCACTGGCTGCCAATGTAGTGACAGTAAGTTTAATCTTGCCTGCACTTGTTATCATCAATACAGATGCTGAAAGAGAAACTGCTGACTGCAGAGAAAGGGTAATGGTTTCCCTTTCTGCACCCTCATCCGTACTTATTTTTGAATGGTTTGTCTTCCCCCACTCTGCAATTCCAACAAATGAGGTGAAAATGATCTGGGGTCTACTCACTCTAGGGTCACCTGAGCCACAGCATCCATTGAACTGTATCCATTCTCCATGAAGATCTCCGTGTATCGGCCCATTTTGATGGCTTCCAGCCACTCACCCACCGACCTGTAGGCACCGCTTCCGACTGGACTGTGCTCTACCAACAGATTTGATACTCTAAAGACAAGCAAAAACAGAGAAGCAAACAGAATCAGTATCAAGGTGTACCCAATGTGACTCAGTTGCTTGCATTTTTATATGGTAAAGATGATTCTTTCGTTGCATTTTCAGTGATTGCTGCAGCCTAAATCCTCCCAGCAGGCTTGATACGTGGTGTACCAGAGATACTACTTCACCTGTAACTTCACTCACTTTTGAGTTAGTTCCTGCTGTTTCTGGTCCTCACTGCAAGCAGAAAGAGGAGGAGAGGACTAGCGTCCATCCCCTGTCACCTCTTACCCACAACCAGGCTCCTCTTCTATCAGGCTCCCCCAGTCACTCTTACTTTAAAGTCTTTGGTTTCACTCCTCCCGCTCTGTTTTCCTCCTCCTTTAAAGCTCATAATTAACTTAAGACAGCCCAGAGCCTGGAAGCTGAAACCCAAATTACATTTCCCAGCAGTGGCCATCAATGGCAGGCTGCTGTTAACACTTCAGGGGCTGCTCCCGCAGAGTTGGGCGAGGATTTTGGATGCCGGCAGCATCCGGCGAGCCCTGCAGAGAGCAGCAACGCTCCAACCACGCTCCAGCCCTGAAACCAGAGGTAGACTCCTGCTCCTGCACCCGCAATTGCTACCTGCTCGGCTATGCCACGCACGGAGGAAGCAATTCAGGCAAATAATAACCCTTCACCGCGACAGAAACACCGATACAGTACCTGGCACAAGCGACCCATGCTGCGTGCGGGTCCACCGCCCTACTAATGATGCGCAGAGAGCAAAGGGGGCTGGTCCAAGGTCAGCCAGGAAAGAAACTAGGTTTGTCCCCTGCTTTGTAAACCAGGACATACAGCTAACATAAGCCTTGCATAAAGATTATTACCCACAGGTAAAAAAACGTTTTCTGGGTCAGCCTCTGACGGTGAGAATTACACTTAAAAGACTATCAACTGGAAGGACAGCTAGCATATTATATTATAGCACTTCACGAATCTTCATATATTTTATGAGCACATTAGTATTATTTGTTTATTTAATAGCAATGCTGAAGGGTCCAATAAAATGTGAATACTTGCAGTACCAAGAACATAATGGCTTCCCATAACATTTTATACACATGAGGAATTCAAAACTCCTAAGTAATCATAACGAGAAGTGGATTTTCATCACTAATGTCAGGAGGTACCTACTGATATGCACACGCTGTAATGTAGAGAGAGACTTCCTCCCTTATTTGCATTAATGAGTATTTCCATAAAGAATACATTATATATATAAAAAAATCCTTTACAGCTGCTATATGTTAAAATTATGATTCATTTGGAATTACTATGGCCTGGGCACAGCAATCTGTGATTATAGAAACACAGTCCCAAAGCCTAGCTGTTCAGGTGTGCCATCCACACCAAAAAACCCCCACAGTAGCTCCGAAAAGGAGAGGTTTGGAATTGCATGGTCCTGTTCATGGAAAAAAAAATCAGCAAAGTGCTTAGCAGCTCAAAGAAATGGTTTGCTGCCTATTTTCCTCCTTTCTGGCATAACAGTTTGCTATAAAAGAGTGCATGAACCACCGCATAACAGGCCTGGAAAATTACTGTTCTGAACTGAAAATAAAAGAGAAATTTTGTGCTATCATAAACCTTTTCCTGCAGGTTTGCCGGGACTGACATTATATCTAATTGCTAATAAGAGTAATTTCTTCTTCAGACAGTAAATGATGCATGTAAAATAGCCCAAGGAATCAGATCTATCTTGGTACTAAAAATTAACAGAGATTTCATGTTTCTTCTCTTCCAGCACATGAGACGCCATGCGTGGGGACATGCCAGCACATGGATGTGAGGTCCAGCTGCAGCAGACAAGATGGGCCACATGCAGCTGTGCAAGACTCACTTGGAAGGTGTGGAGATGAATGGGTCTCAGCTCCCAGCAGCACATCTGCTTTGGTCCACACCACCAGTCTAGCCTCATCTTACATCTCCCTCATTCCCGTCCAAGGAAAATGACGTGTCTTTTTTTTTTTTTTTTTCCCCTCCTCTGAGAACAAGCTTTTCTGAAGGGCCTCTTCCAGTGTTAACCAGGGGAACTCCACTGCCACCAGTGAAGCAGCGATGATTTATATTCATCATTCCTTCATGACTTTGCAAGGGACCGAGTGATTAGCAACACAGATGGCCCAGAAGTAATACTTGTGTGCTTACAGCAAAAAACGAAAAAGTCTCTCCAAGACTCCAGTATGGTGGAGACCTCAATACTAAAACTAACTAAAAAATATTAATCTCTTTTTCCCCAAGTGCAGCTTTATTTCTTGACTATATTTACCTTACTTGTAGCAGTGTAGCTATTCACATTCATGTTTAATTGCACACCGGCTGCTCTATTCACTTCATGTGGTTTTAGCAAATGGTTTGTGTACAGCTCTTTGGGAATCACAGAGATCCTCTCGTGATTACCAAGACTGTCAGAACTGGTGGTGGTGGCTAGCATGCCTGGGAATAGTTGTGGGAGGATGCACTTGGACATCCGTGAGCTCTGCACATCCTAAGAGTTTTCCCAAGAGATGCTCTTCATTTGTATTACCAAGATAAAGTCAACAGGCAGATAATTTGAGCAGCATTTACTATCTACTTCATGCACTTCAAGTCTTGCCCTCTCTAACCTTGGGGTTGAACACAGGTAGCTTTATCATAGACCTATAAATACTGCTGAAACTCCTGTTTCTGAAAGACAGGCCACAGTAATTTTCTTTGTGGCAGTAGCACTGCATTTATAGAGTAACTGAATTGCTCACCTGCCGGCCAGTTTCAACAGAAAAAGTTGATTTGGGAAAACTCCCCTGGACATATTAAAGCTGGAGGATCATCCACCACAGACACACACAGGCTAAATAATAAGTGGTTATTCAACCCCAGGGGCGGGTATTCAGACAAGGATCTCGCTCTGAGAAATGGCTCTGGCCCGAGTTTGTACCTGCTTGATGCATTAACCAACGTCTTCAAGCTGCTTGGGTTGCGGATGAGCTTGTCCAGCATGCTGACAATTTCGTCAAACTTGGGCCTGCTGTTGCGGTCTTTCTGCCAGCAGTCAAGCATTAGCTGGTAGAGAGCAGCAGGGCAGTCCATGGGACTTGGCAGACGATAGCCTTCCTCCACGGCTTTAATCACCTACGGGAGATAAAACACGAGGCTAATGGGTTGCTTTTCTTCCTCTCACCTTTTTCCCAAAATGCAAATTGACTTAAACAGGGAACTCTTGGACCAGCAATATGGTCACATAAAATCCCTGCACACAAGAGACAAACTCAGTAAATGCCACTATCTTTTGTATTTTCTATGGGATGGGTTGAATGACTTCATTTTTGGACACCGTAAAATGAATCTAGAAAGCCAAGGCACTGCTGCAACCAGGGGGCCAGATTGCCAGGTTGCACTTGTTCAAAGCTCAGTTGAGGTCTGTAGGTTATATACCAGGAAACTGCCAGAGCCTACCCTTAGTCCACGAAAAGCAGCCTACGGGGCTTTCTGGCATCTTCTTGGAGTGCAGTGGTTTTGTTTATGCATATGTTGGCTCCTTTTTAAATGAAAAGGCATGTGCTAGACCACAAATTTGTATTACAGTAATAAAAGTCTGACTGTATTTCAAAAGAGACTTTGAATGCTAATTGATGGATGGATTCAAGGCAGAGGCAGAACAACCATCTCATATATCATTCAATACTGTCTGGGTCTAGCTGTTTCTTAGTGTGGCCACATTTCTGCCAGGAATTTAAAATGTCAGCCCAAGAGTATGTAAATTAAAACAGGGGGGGGGTTGTTGCACTGATTTCAAATACAAACCATCTATGGTTCTATATCTAAAACAAGTGGTATGCACATGTGCTGCCTGCCCTCTCGAAAGGCAGAAATGAATAAATGAGGGAAGAATTGAAGAAAGCCACTTGTTTTCCCCAGTTTGGGGCAGATTTACAGCAGGGCTCCAAGCCCAGCAGTTCCCATTTTGAACCATTTCAATTTTCAGGAGAACACAGCTTGCGTTTCAAGCCACAAGGGTCTGTGACCATGCCAAGAGAGTCCCGGCGGCCCATCTTCACACTCTCTACTCCCAAGACTCCTTGACCAAAAGGAGCTGGAAGCAGCTATTTGCTATGTGGAAAACCACAGCGCTTCACTGCTGGGCTTCAAGGACTGCCTCAGATGCCATTCATTTTAGGCCCTGTCTTATGATTTGAAAATACCCTGTGTTTAAAAAGAAGGCTCTGTGGTTAGCACAGAAGTTGTTTCCTTGATCTTTAGTCCCTATAAGAGCAGTACAGAGCGCGCCACGTCAGGCTGGCATTCCATTTCAGAAGGCTCTGAAATTCAGGACCGCATGGATCGCTTTCAAATTGTCCTCCACCACAGGGCTTTTTGCCAAGTAGAACAGTCCCAGGAATGAGCTGGGCTGGCTGAGCAGCAGTAGCGGGAACCTCAAACTCCCTAAGGGTGTATATAGTAGAGAAGAAGTTAGGCAAGGCTTTCTAACCGTCTCCAAGGGTAGCGAGCATATCTGAACATCTGGCCCACAAGACCTGCATTCCTATCTAAGATTTCATCTGTCGGTGGAGCAGTTGCACTGCTCTCTACCCAACCTGCGCTTGCAAAGCAATCTCTTCTATGGCCTGGCTTTTGCTCACAGCACCAAAACCCAACCCCACTACACTGTGCTATCCGCACTGTCTTTCTTCACATCATGCTTTTCAGCTGGTCCCTGATACCAAATTTGCAGCTGCCCTGTAAAAAAAGCCTCAGTGTGGCACAGCCACAAGAACGTTATTTGCTGTGTCCGCGTCTGTATTTATAACGATAACGGATCATCCTCCAGCTGTAGCAGAAAGAAAATAGTAGCAAGATGGGGAGCAGACCATCTGGCACCAGCTCAGAATATCTGAACTACATCTGCAATGGGGTTATGCATGTTTGATATTCCTGGCAGTAACATCACAATCAATAGCGTTAACTCAATTTACAGGATGTCGTTCATTCTGGCGATACAATGTAAATGGTATCAAAATACCACGAGGAGCTAGGATGCTGAAATACACTCTTGTGTCTGAAGGTGCCTTGGGCAATAAGAAGAGCAAAAGAATGAAACAACAAAGACTGAGTCACTTGTAGCCATCACAATACTTAGAAAATAGCACATTTGCTGTCCCAGTCATTGGTGCGTACTGCTTTGTAAGACCTGAAGAGCTAAAACTTGCACCTACAAGGAGGCATTTTTGCCCCTGTTCCTCTTCTGGACAAGCACTACTCACTTATGGACTGGGGTGAGTGGATTGGATGTTTGGGAGAAGACAATTTGGGGTAGTCTATTCCAGTAAACCAAAGCAACACTTTTAGCTCTGTGTTTTCATAAAAACAGCAGTCTGAAGACTAAAAAGCAACCACTGCGATCATTTAGCTTAGCAACCTGCGTAACACAGGCCACAAAATTCCTCTCAGCAATTCCTGCATCAAAGCCTTATCTTGTGGTCGAGTCAAAGCATATTTTTAGAAGGCCGTCCAGAAACCAGCACGACTTTAAAACGCGGTTTGTAGCCTTTGCAGTTACAACGCTGCCTGCCCTATGGCACTGCACCTCCTTTACATGTACTTACAATCCATCTATAACACGGTGAGAATCGTTTTGCTCATCGCTGACTGTGCTTGCAAATGATGTCCTTTAATTACAAGCCATGCAACAAGAAACTCTTGTGCAACGGAGTCTGAAATTCATGTGAGCAGAGCTCCCTAGTCCTCTGCACTCAAGCCAATGCTGTATCTAACACCACTGATTCTTCTGCCCTCACGAGCAGAGGAGGAAAGGAGAGGAGGCCTTCAGAAGATGGAGGACAGCTTAAATCACATGAGAAACATGCCACAGCAATGAATTAAGTTTCCTAGGCTACCACCACCCAGGCATTTGCCACCTGCACATAGGCAGAGAGGTAACCCAAGCAAAGCCTGAGCAGGAACTGATGCTCATTAACATCTCACCAGTCCTCTTGCTGAAGTATCCAGTCCCTCATCCACTTCTTCCCAGGCAAGCATGAAATTCACCCTATGCCCCACAGTGCACGGAGGCATTTGGGCTTTTTGGAACAGTTCTGCAAAGTGTGGATATTTATAGCATTATGATCCAGACGAGGGACTCACGTGGCCATGGAGCATTATTTCACTGGCACCAGCCTGGCATTTACTAAACAACATCTGTGCTATGCCGGTGCATCACCATTAAAGATAGTTACAGTGCTCCCTGTGACTGAAAAAGCTTGGCTCTCAATTGCTGCATTCTCTGCACAGGCTACGGAAGAAAGTCTCTGGATTTGATTGAGGTAAATCCCTGCGTAGATACATGCTGCTTTACCAAACTCCCTGCAAAGTGACAGCCTCAGCAATACAGAAGCAGCAGGGCATTCATGCCAAACAACGCGTTCGTCTCCCTGGCCAGAAGCACGGCGTGACCGTCTCAAAGGTATCGCTCGTTTCCGCGCCTGGACTTGAAGCCAGATGAGACAGCAGCTCGGCGTGACAGGTAGTAACAGCCACTGATGGCAAAGGCCCGCAAACAAAACACAGGAGAAACAGAAGGCTCAGCCAGAGCCTTTGCTGCCAGTGAAACAGCAGAAAGGCACGGGGACAGGGACGCTGCTCAAAAAAGAGAAAAGGATGAAACATCAGGTGTTGTGACCAGAGGAAACGCACGGTGGAGCGAGGACCTGCTTGCTTTGCCCAGCCGGCAGCAGCATCCCGTGGGTGGCAGGGCTGCAGAGATGAAGTGGGAGGGATCAGACGCGACTCCAATTGCCACACGCACATTGCACATCGCAGAGCTGCTTTGGGGGCCCCGCGTGCCTCATGGTGACCCCGACCTCATACACGAGCTGCTGTCCTGAGACCTACACACATCATGGTTCTCAGAGCTGTGAAGAGGAATGACGGTCCTAGAAAATCTGGCAACCTCAGGCTTAAATTAGCCTTAGACAAGGACAGATGTTTATGGTGAGCTCAGGGTAGGAGGCAGCCCTGCACTACGATCAAGAGACCCTTACACAGGCTGAGATCAGAGCTACAGTCAGGAGGGGGACAGTGTCCCCAGGCATCTCCCTGTTTGGAGATGCTTCAGAGGGTGGCATTAAGGTCAGAGGCTCAAGGGGGCACTGGGGCCCAGGAGCAAGGGGACACAACTACGAAGGATGCTGTGCAAATGAACCATGAGAACTTGCATTAGCATAGACTTAACAAGATGTTCACAACAGGAGCAAAACTATACTCTTGAGATCAGCAATGCAAGGGCAACCGAGACGCAGTTCTCTGGACTGCTGTCACTAGATCAAATCACCCAGCTTTTGTGCAGGGAAACAAAGCCCTTACCATGACTCTCTTGAGTTTCTGCTTTAGGTGGCAGCAGGGGTTTGAACACACAATTGAAATGCTGCCTGTTATCAGCATCTATCCCCTGGCAGACCTTTGTCATTAAGCAGAGGAGGGACGGGCTCCAGCTCTAACAGCATTAGTGAAGCTCCAGCGGTCTGCTGGGGGAAGCAGACTTGCCTCTGTGCAGACACATTTCCCTCTGCGCACAGCTTGTTCTGGGCTGCTGCTGCAAAAAAAAGAGCATCAACCAGGAGAATCGTTTTTGTCTGGCATGGGGGAGCAAAGCCATTTTTGCAGTGGCTCTCCTCCTCTTAGCCCCATCTTGCCTCTCTGACTGCAGAATGAACACTGAGCCCTCAAAGTCCCATCACGCGGCAGCTCTCACACGTGCTTACATCTTGGTTTGTCATTTCCCAGTAAGGCCTCTCGCCGTAGGACATCACCTCCCACATCACAATGCCGTAGCTCCAGACATCGCTGGCCGATGTGAATTTGCGGAAGGCGATTGCTTCGGGTGCTGTCCATCGGATGGGGATCTTCCCCCCCTAGAAGCAGAAAAAAAGGGAAAAAAACCAAAATAAAAAACCAGATTGCAGAGGAGGGCAGACAACATGCAAAAGAGGACAAAACAGCACTTCTTAGAGCACTGAGGGATGTTATTTTCTCTCTGGAAAGAGACATCGAATTTTAAAGTAAATCTGTTTGACAGCATGGGGCCCCTTTCCACATTATCTCAGCCCATAAGCATTTGTAGGCTGCCTACTAATTGGCTGTCCTGAAGGTTTGTTGTTTGAATGCTGTTTGAATGCTGGGACATGTATAGGATCAACATCTCAATTATGTTGCACGGGTTGGTAGGGGAATACAGTTCCTCAGTTTCTGAGAGCAAGCGGGGGAGGAACAGACAGCTCTGAAGCCGAGGAAGACTTTGATCTAACGAGGGCTTCATGCAAATTGCTGCGGAAGTAATGCCCCTTTTTTCTCTCTTTTTTTTTTGGTTTTTTTTTTTTGTTTTTTTTGTTTTTAAATGCAGTCCCGGTCCTGCAGAGAGATCTGCATAGCGGGAACCAAAATCTGTGTGTGCAAAGACCAGGCTGCTTGGCCTCTGCTGTGGGACTGAAAATGATGCCACAGCTGTCAAATGTACTTTTCTGTTCCCTTTCTCCCTTTCTACCATTTTAGAAATCAAACTTCAGCCCAGCCTTGAGAAGGAAGAGGGGAGGGAAAGGGGAGTTTGGATTAAGGAATACTTTTCTCATTGGGTTTAAAGAGTTGTCTCCCTTGATTTATATCAAAATCTATTTTACTGTGAAGTCCCTTCCTCTCAGTGTTGAGCTAAATACTGGAAGGTCTCCCTGAATGCCCCCCTAACAGTGTTTGTTATTGGAGAAAAGTAGAATTTGGAACACATTTTCAAAGAAAATTTTAAAAAGTCCCTTCTTCCAATAATTATTTATTCACAGGCTTATCAGCGCATGCCTTAAGTGAGGGGCCAGATTCTCAGCAGTGCCAATTAGCACATGGCAGCACGTTGCAGCCGCAGCAGGGCTGGCCAAGAGCCCTCCAGCCTGCAGGGAGGCTCCGGTCCAGCCGTGCACTGAGTCCTGTCGTGGGGCCGTGACTGCCAAGAGCTTAAAGGCCTTTCCCAGATCTCTGCGGGAACTGGGAACATGACCCAGAGAGCTCCCACCATCCATAAGACAATACTCCCGGAAAATCACGCTGATAGGACATGTCCAGGCGTGCCAATCACTGCCACGAATATTGGAGGCTCTCTCCAAGCCTGTGCTGCTGAGGATAGGTCCTGTTCCTCCCCCTCTCCACAATGCTGGGGCCACGTGGCCAGGCACTGGGATGGGTGGGGTGGTGCCCTGAAAGGATGGATCAAGGATGGAAAGGGGCAGAGCACTGAGGCTGGAACAGGTCTTTCTCAGGTTTGGGGAAAATACCCTCAACAGGGTAATTTTCAGGGCAATGTGCGTCATTTGCAATGGGCATTACACACTTACCAGTGTTTTAAAAGGGCTGAATTGTCCAGACGACCATAGCTTTTACACCTCTGCATGGGTGCCTAAGCAAAGCACTTGCTCCTTCCTCCCTTTGGTATTCACCAAAGAGGACAGAATAGAGCTGGGAGTGCAGCACCTTTGCAAAGTTTGCTATTTGACTCAGGTGCTCAACATGAACTTAAAAGTTATTAGTTAAGTTCTGCCCTATGTGGCCATCCCCACTACAAAGTTACAGGCATTTGCAAAATTAATCTTATAATGATTAACTGGTAATACCTGGCCAAACCCTCATGCACAGTTTAGAGTCTCTGGATTTGTAGAAACCTCTTTGCTCAGAGCCTGAACACCAAAATGTGTCAGGGAATACTTTTTTCTTGAACCCAATCAGTTCGGTATCCTTATAAGGGAGTGTAGTGACAGGACAAGGGGTAATGGGTTCAAGCTGAAGGAGGGTCGATTTAGATTAGATGTTAGAAAGAAATTCTTTACTGTGATGGTGGTGAGGCACTGGAACAGGTTGCCCAGAGAGGCTGTGGAGGCCCCATCCCTGGAAGTGTTCAAGGCCAGGCTGGATGGGGCTTTGGGCAACCTGGTCTAGTGGAGGGTGTCCCTGCCTGCAGCAGGGGGGGTGGAACTAGATGATCTTTGAGGTCCCTTCCAACCTAAACCATTCTATGATTCTATGATAACTCACCCTGGTTGTATAAGCTGCTTCAGGGTCATCTTCTAGGACTCTGGAGAGGCCGAAGTCTGACACCTTGCAGACTAAGTTGCTGTTGATTAGGATATTCCTGGCGGCCAGATCTCTGTGTACATAACCCATGTCAGACAGGTACTTCATTCCTGACGCGATGCCTCGCAGCATCCCGACCAGCTGAATGACCGTGAACTGCCCATCGTTCTTCTGCAAAAGGAAGGAGACGTTTGATCAGTTGAGAGTCTCTGCACCCTCAGCATTGTGTGTGCATGAATAAAAATGCAAAGGCAAGTCTCCGGGGAAGAAAAACAGGGAAATAAATAATTCATTACGCTCATGCTCTGACCATGAAGCTTTTCAAATTTTCACTGTTTGGATTAGGATCTCTAGAGACAAAGCTAAGGAAATGTAGTTCTTTTAACTGGAGATCAAGGAGCAAGCTATTTCCACTGGTGACTGATAAAGAGATTGTGACTGGGAGTGAACACATGTAGTAATGTGTATAGAGGCACGAGGGTGGGCCGTCACTGAAAAGCCAGCTGAATGGTGCCAAGTTGCATGGAAATCCTACCTGCAGAGGTCCATGTGTGAATATTTGGGGGTAGGGGCTTTTCCCCACGTTGCCACACCGCATTTCTAACCACTTCCCCTATCCTCCCTTCTCTAGCTCTTTTCCTTTCACGGAAAAACAAGGAAAACAAGAAAAACAAGTCAGGAGTTTGCCATGATGCAGTGTGGATGTGCTCTTGAAACACATCAAAATTTGCAGAGCACCAGAACAGGCTGCCCAGAGAAGTTATGGAGTCTCCTTCTCTGGAGATATTCAAACCCCGCCTGTATGCGATCCTGTGCAACCTGCTCTAGGTGATCCTGCTTTAGCAGGGGGGTTGGACTAGATGATCTCCAGAGGTCCCTTCCAACCCCTACCCATCCGTGAATCTGTGAGTTAATCATTTCCATGCAGCAGACTGCCTTCTAAATAAACATAATACCCTCCAACGTTTTCGTCTCTGTTTCTATCAATGCACAAGCCAGATCCTTCATGATGCTGTATAAATATAGATCAAACAGACAACTGAGCTACTCCTGCCCCCAGACAGCATCAACAGCTGGACCAACACCCAGCAAACATTTTCACTGATATTAACCATCTGCAAAGAACCCAAACTTTAACCAAAGTCCCCCTGGAAAAAGGATCTAAGTATTACCTTTAAAAATGTATCCAGAGAACCGTTCTCCATGTATTCAGTCACTATCATTACTGGTTTGCCTGGAAAAAAAAGTGCATGAGTTTGTTAGCAATTTATTTAAAAACCATGAACAATAATAAAGTCTTCTCATAATGCATCTGAACATGAATACACAGCCATGCAACAGTAAATCTACACCGAGACATGCTGTCCCATGTTTTTGCCAGAATGTGTGTAATAGGGGAATCTATGAGGAGGGGATGAAAAAAATAATCCTGTATTATGGGTGGGGTACCAAGCCCTACAGGGTTTAGATGATGTTTGAGGAAGAGGTTGCAAGCTGAACCCAGACAACCTATGCACAACCTTCTCCTCATCTCCGTGAACAAGCGGAGAGCTTGCTGAGGCCAAATTGCACACAGACATCTCTTTGGACTCTTCCTTACAGCTTCAATGCCCTGAAATAACAACGGGAGCCCAACAGGAGCAACCGGGATGATCTGAAGTATCTATCTGACCTTGGTAGCCACCAAAACCAAGACCAGGAGAGGATGGGATTACAACCCTTGCAATTCAAGTAATCCCATGTGACTACCCTTGTAAACACACCTGGAAGTAAGAAAAAGAATATTTATACTGCAGAACAAAAGTGGGTTAAGTATGGAATGAGTGTGAGTGGAAATCAAAATAAAAGTTCTTAACAAAAGACCTGGTCTCCTATTGTTGACAGGAATAATAATGTTTTTCCAAATCCATTTGATTAATTTTCATGCCCAAGTCATTTTAATGGTAATTATATATAGTTTTTGCTCAGTTCTTATATCTAATTTCTCGCTAGCTTGCCACAATGACATAGCAATAATTAATGTGGTGTGCTCCAGCCCTTGTAAATTCAATGAAATCTTATAAGAACATGTAAATTATTTTTTATTTAAATCAATTTCCATTAGCTAGCATGAAGCACAGACAAAAGAGGAGCTGCCAATTATTTGTACAGTGCATTATAAATGTCTTTCATAGAAATGATCAACGAGAGCTGCCGCATGTCATAACATGTGCATGAAGGTAAATGCTCCTAAAAATCGGTGCATGTTCTACCATTTAGATCGATCTTAATCTTCCCACTTTCCTGTTACCTTAACTATTTGCCTAATTTATTGCTTAATTATCTACATAATAAAGGTAATTGTGAACTTGTCAATCAAAACACTCATTGTTGCGCAGATACTACCTTTGCAGCGTGAGGGACCTGCGCTGCTTCAGTTCTTTGAAGTTAATATCACAGCTACTGCCTGAGATTGAAGCTTGCCAAAAGTATTACTTCTGATATGAGAAATGCACCTTGGGGACTTGAAAAATATCGTTGAGTCCCAAACAAAATAATGGACCCCATCTTCAAGGATGACAGCCATCTGTCTACACACAACACGAGCTGTGTGCAGGAGGGAGGAGAGATCTCAGATGACATTGCTATAGGTTGGCAAACACGTCAGTGGCTGCACAGGGAAGGAAAATCCCAGGTATATTTCAATTTTTAATTTTTTTTTTTTGTTTTTAAACACTAAACCCTCAACTGTAGCATGGGGTCCCTTATCTCTGACTCTTCAAGGTAGTGTTGCAGCAAGTCTGATGTCTCGTTATGCCACCTCCCTGGGAGACCTCCTTCATACTCCTGCCTTTGGTTGCCATCGGAGAAAAGAAAATAAGAGTTCTGGCACTTATCTTTCATTATCTGACTGCTGCAGGTTGACAGTAATTGTGGAATAAATTAGCCCCAAATCCAAGAGCATGGAAAAAAGACACAAATAGAGTAACTTTCAACAAAGTAAATTAAAAGTAAACATCGGCCTTTCTAAAGCGCTGGGCTGATTTTCCATGTCAGCAGGGCTCCCTCCTGCTGGCATTACAGGGCCATAAAATGCGTGTAGATGTCATTCATATCAATGTACTAATGCAATGTGCACACTGTCACTGCAACCGAATGGGATGCGAATGAGAACAGGACGGTCGTTACCTCTGTGAAGCAGAAATAGCTAAGGGCTTGTCTGCATGGGGACAATGAAGACGATTAATCCAAATTAACTAAGGTGTGCATTTGAACTAGATTAGTTAAATGGTATTAAACCCCTGCGTGGATATTCTCATTCAGAATTAAAAATAACCTAATTCAATTTAACTTAATTTACTTCCAAAGTAAATCACGATGCAGCAAAGACATTTTACTGTAAAGATCTGATTCTACGATAGGCCAATGACTAAAACACTGAAAAACAAGTTAAACAAAACTTTGAGATAGCAGCATAGTTTGGGATTCATGAAGGTTGCTTTGGGCCATTTAAAAGAAAAGAAAAAGGTTGGGAAAACGCTCCGGATGCCTGATGGAAAAAAATCTGAATGCGGTAAACAAGCATTTACTGAGCTAATGAGGAGCTCAGGGTGCACATACCCTCCTGCATCCAAACTCCAGTTGCTCCAAGTCCAATTTAGAAGCAAAGCTCTCTGCATTTCCATGGCCTTTGGAGCAGCTCATAAGGGAAGCACATCCTCTCTAGAAGTGGGATTCCCACCCATCCCCTGAGGCCCTGGCAGCCAGAAAGACTCA